GATACGTTTATAAATATTTGATATCTCACATACATTATAAGCATATTTTGTAAAACAATGCGAAGTATTTCGCACAATCGATGGTGGACACTTATTATTGCATTTTTTTACTCATCTGCATATTCCTGATTAAATGAAAGGAAGAGAAAATAAGAATCACTAAAACAAAGAATAAAGCAGAACTGGTGTTGAACTTGTGAATCGTTTCTGTAAACACTACGACCTGATCTACACACATCAAAAACTAAACAAAAATAACATTGCATGAAATAATTAAGTCATATAAAATATAATAAATAATTTTGAGGAATGCAAACAACCGGTTTGGGCTTTCTTAGGCCACTTTCAAAGATCCTCACAGCAAATTGTGTAGCTTGAATACGAAACAATGAAATATTGAAAGGCACAACGCTAAGCCAACCAATGACAGAGCTAAAAGAAAAAAAAAACAGTCGAGAAAGAACATTGTTGAATTTAACTCTAATTACGCCACGACATATTCTATTCACATTGATTTCAAATAGCAAAAACTAGTACGAAGAGGATTTTGATTATTTTTATAATCCACTCCACAAAATATAAACAAGCTGCTTATTGCATTCAGCACTGCAGTTGTGGAAAATCGTATAACAAATTAGTCCCGAAAATGTTACATTTCACCAATTGACTCAGTATTCCTGATCTTCAATGGGCACAGCCTAGAAACATTTTTAACGTCTCAACAACTTAAAACACTGCAACGTTGCATAACGTTGGCAAAATGTTAACACAACGAAGACGTTTTAAGGCTGAAGTACATTGTACTCGAGCATTGGCGAGGCTGCCAACAAGGCGGGAGGGGCGCGGACAGAGTAGCAAGGTGAGCTCAGCGACTGCGGGATGATGTCAGCACTCGGACTCGACCGCCGGGAACATCCTGGATGAACAGACCGGCCCAGCGTCTACCTTGCAGAAGCTCCACTTCAAACATCTGGAGTGCATTGGCTTCGGTGACGCATGTCGCACATGCTTTTCGTAATCGTATGCAGCCTGAAAGAAGCCTAAATACTGTAATTCGTTCGCACAATTGCTTTGCAACATTTTGAGTTCTTCTTCGGTATAAACAACGTTTAAATATACTTTTTTTTACAGAGTAAAACTAGTCTGTTATGGTGTCTACATGGATCGAAGACTATGTATTAAGATTGCAACTTTTCTTCAAATTTTCAGAAGCTCTTTCATTTTTCGTCAGTCTTAAAATCCATAGTGTATGTCATTCATGAACTCAGGGTCGTCTGGCTTTTCCTTCCATTCCGCGAATTTTCCTTCCTATAATATGTTCCAAAATTGTCTTATACGCATGTGGAATAATAATAAAATCATTATTATTATTATTATTATTATAAGAAGAAGAAGAAGAAGAAGAAGAAGAAGAAGAAGTAGGCGAAGAAATTGGGAAGAAAACTATACAAGACTTGCAAAAGAATACAGACACTGATCTATTGATTCTACTCGACATGACATGACAGATAAAATATGCTACAGATCTCATGGAAAAACAAACCTTTCACGGACAACTTCTGAATGGGTTGGAAAACATACAGATCAATGGAGACCAATCATTTACGTGGAAGAGTAAATCCAGAATTGTAAGAAGTGGTATTACTCGTAGCTAAGATCAACTATTGAGAGCATGTCCTTATGATAAAGCGGTTCCAGAATAATAAAAATCGCATTTGTGGAGAAGAGGTTAAAACCACTGATCATATCGTCTCACTGTATTCAATTCTAGCAAAACTCGAATACATGAAAAGACTTGATGGGGTCTGTAATTTCCTCAGCTTCCTCTGGCTGATCGGTAACGTCCTCTAAGTCCCAAACACGTGCTTCAGCTCTTACCAAAACCTATGACTTCTGTTGGATTCTGCACAATACGTACTACGTACCGAATGTCTAACAAATCCTCCTGAACTCAGGATAGCACCACACTCCGGATATTTTTATTTAAGATTTTAGGTACAAGAAATCGAATTTACTTGAAAAAGTACTAAGTACGTGTTGTTTGTTGTCATTAAAATATTCGTATAACATTTCAGATCGTATAACAAAAGAGAATACAAAAACAGTACAATGCAATGTTATAATTATATTTCTTTAAGAACATTTATTGATTTTTCAATTGGCTTCTCAGGGATAAATTTTATTTCTATGCTACGAATTCTCAATTTTCATTCATTAATATACTCTGTGTAGGCCTTCGATGTAATGAATATACGATGTTACGAAAATACGATGTTTATCATTATAATAAACATCACACCTAATGTTAAATACATGAAATTAAAAAAAAAACATGCACGAAAAAGAAGCTATAGTTAATTACTCAAGTTATTTTAAAATTCTATGAAATGTATAATGATCAATATTTACAATTGCAATCCTTTGAATGCAAACTATTGACACATGAGTGCTACTGATATTAAATTTTGCGTAGAGTAAGCTTAAACGCTCTCATTTCTGAAGTGCAGGGAATCTGGAAAGTATAATAATTTGTATTGAAGTAATGTACAACTGAACCTGAATACTCGTGCTTAAACTTATTGAAGGCGAATTATTGACTTCTCCTTTACTATAAGATTCAGTTCATCTATTACGACTTGAAACCAAATGAAGTCCAACAATTTCCCAAACCTTGTACTCACAACTTTGAATCAATTTAATATGTTTATAATGATATGGGCTCCAGACCGATGATAGAATTAATGGAACGTAGCAGTGCAGACAATTGTCATCAAGGTAAACACACCAAAACATTTGAATTAAAAACTTGAGAAAACTTGATTGGTCTTTTTATAATCTCACGCACATTGGAGACACGAGTTCTACAAGAGTGGCTTTGAATGACAAATTTTTAATACGACAATGTCGAGTAATGGGTAGTTATTTTATTACAGTTATTCTTGTTAAAATATACTTCCTTTTCTTTGAAGGCGATTCGTCATTGCCTTCAACGACTCAATTTAATTTTAACAAGTCAGAACTCGGGGTAACGCAACCCGCAATACCGCAATGTATTACAGACATCAAATATGATCGTATTTTTTCGAGAGCATTCTTGTTTGTGGAATCATCCGACTAGCTTCCTGTCTATTCGCAAAAACCATATCTAAATGACAGCATTTAAGGCAACAAATGCGATAGGAGATTAAGTATTAAATGAAAATTCTTCCACCGAAATCTCCCATTTATTTCAATAGATCTCTTTCGAAAACTCACCGCATTTAAATTATGTAGGGTAATCACTTGTCGAAAAGACAACAGTGATTGTCTGCCACTATTTCACCCAGAATGATTTGGATGACTTTAAAAATTTTCTCGTGGCATCCCCATCCTTGACATCACGCCTCAAGGAGATACG